CACCGCTCGGGTTCGGATCAGGGAGGCCGTTCCTCCCAATCACGCCCCTCCAGGTCTCGCTGTCGTTACCCACGTGAGCATTGAAGTCTCCCAGCAGGACAACAGAGTCTCCAGGTGGAGCACCCTCCAGCCCTCCAGCCCTTTCTGCACATGTACAGGAGTTGACAAACTGGTTAAACGTATCTGTTTGCTTAAATGACAGCAATGAACTCACGGAATGAGCAAAACACTTGAACCCCACTGCTGATGACTGTTTTCTTAGTGGGAAGTGGTTTCAGTGTCAGATGCCAGCTCTGAAGTTAAACAGAAAAAAATAAAGATAAAAAGTTACATACTAAATGACACACACACACACACACACTCATTTTCATAGCTTAGTGAGGACATTTCATTGACATAATGCTTTGCCTAGCCCCTTACCCTAACTCTAACCATCAAAAATAAATGCCTAATCATAACCCTTAGCCTAAAACTAACCATAACCTAATTGTAACCCTGACACTAAAGGTGCATTTTGAGCCTCAAAAATGCCTTCAAACAAATTTTTGATTCAAAGGAGATCAACTATTGTTACATGGCAATTACAATACATGAATTTTAAAAGTAGACCTATACTTACCCTAAATTCCTAATTCAGAAAACTAACCATTAATAAAAGAAAGCTTCTCTTGTGGCAGCTGTGGCTCATATGGTCATATGAGCACTAAAAACATGGTTTTGGGTTCAGTGCTGCACATGTACCACAGTTGGCAAACTGGTTTAATTTTTTGATAAACAGAAACATTCATGGCATGACAGGAAGGTAAAGGCAAAAACAAAACAGGCAGGTACAAATGATTTCTCTTTTTATCTTATCTTGTGCGTTTATCCTTGTGTGTTATCAAGACAGTCATTGAGGTATGTATTTAAGTACTGTTTGCGTACATTGGTAGGTGTTTCTACATCTGTTGACAGATTTCGTTCACTGTGCAAGAAAAAGTTTGAAGGTATGCAGTTTATGTAAGAGCTGAAAGGTCAGCATGCCACTCTAGATATCTTCACATTAGAGACTGATGATAGATACATTTCTTTCAGGTTAAAAGGCGTGGTGCTGGAAAGTATAGATAAAGCAATTTACTGATGGTACTTGCTGATGGCATCAGATTTTACCATTAGACGAAAAATGTTTACATGAGAGAACTAAAACCTGTAATGTTCTGAAGGTGGTCTGACATGTTGGCTCTCTTGGTGTGGGTATTCTATTACTTCCTGTTCCCGTTTCACCACAATGCACTCTGACGGTTTGTGTAGCTTACTAAGTGTAGCCCTTTTAACTACAAACCTTTAGACTATGAAATAAGTCATTATCTAATCTTTAAACGATTTATCCAAAACTACTGAATCACCTGCAAGTAGTAATCACCTGCTAGTTTAGCCTAGCCTTTAGCCTGGCCTCAAAAGCTACAAACAGCCTATATTTATTAGAATATTGTTATTTCTAAGAGAGGCTGAGGATTAGCTAAACATCTGACATACTGAGCAGGAAAATGCAGGAGGAAAAGGTTAAGAAGACATGCTGCTAGTGACTCTTTCTGAGACTAGAGCTGCTGGAGGGTTCTTCCTGTTAAAAGCGTTTTCTCTTTCCTCTGATGTCAAGTGCTCGCTTATAGGAGGTTGTCTGATTTTAGAGGTTTTCTCTCTATTACTTACCTCATAGTGTACTTACTCACTACATTTCAACAAAATATCTGTTCTTTCTACTTCTTATACTGCTGCTCCTTCTCACTCTTTGGGGACACCTGAAGCATTTAAGATCAGGAACCTTATTTTCGCTGATCACAGTTGGTTTAACCACACTGTTGCTGCTGTTGGCTGAAGGCCTCTTATCCACAGAACAATATGGGATAATGTCACTACAGATTCAAATACATGCTTATGTATGTGAGCTTTTACGTGCAACAGCTTCACATTGTGGTCAGCGGTGGAATTACATCCATGCTGAAAATACGTCACATGAAAACCAAAATAATTCCAAACACCAGATCTGAATGAGGGTGGGGGAGGTCCATGTTTCAAGGAGAGCTTAACTTCTGTCTCGCTAGCTTGCCCTGCTCTCTTCCTTCTGACGATGCTGTCTGTGTTGAGCGCTCAGTGGATCTGCGCTCGACAGTGCAGCCTAGGCGGAGTAGTCGAACGCAGATTCACTGAGCGCTCAACACAGACAGCATCGTCAGAAGGAAAGTTGATAAAATAAATTACAAATTTTGTATTGTTCGATACATATGCGTACCGAACCGAAAGCACTGTATCGAACGGTTCAATATCGATACGAATATCGTTGCACCCCTAATGCTTATGTATGTGAGCTTTTACGTGCAGCAGCTTCACATTGTGGTCAGCGGTGGAATTACATCCATGCTGAAAATAACTAACACTGATTATCAGTGGGAAGAATTAAATTAGTCTTTGTGAAACAGAAATGTGGTTTGTAGTTAAAGGAGTAGTTATGTACTTTAAAAGAACCTGATTAAACATTAAACCAGGATAACATTTGGATGACATCTGATCAAATCTGGCTGCCGAATGAATTCATAAGTGAAAACTGACACAAGCTGACAACACAAACATGTTTCCAAAAATGACATTGAGCAACAAACCGAGACAACCAACTGTATTAGAGGCAAAAAGCAAAACACGTTTTTAAAAAAGAAAAAAAAAAACCAGTTGTCCAAAGTGGGGAGCACAGTGTTGTGGTGTCTAACACTGTTTCCTCACAGCACTACGATTCTGGGTACTAATCCGCCATCTGTCCTGAGTGGAGATTATATCTTGTCCCCATAGGTGTGCAAATGGTTGTCTGTGTTAGTCCGAGGACAAAAGGCCACCTGAACAGGGTGCCTTTCGTCGTGTGGCAGCTGGGATATTTTGTTTTTATTGTTGGTGAAGAACTGAAAACTCAGAATTTACATTTAGACTAGGATTTTGTTGAACTAACTAACTATTAATATATGAGGTTACATTCAGTTCAAGGAATTAAATTTTAGCGTGGCTGCAACTTACTCCTTAAGTTAAAAATGATGCTGTATATTGTAGTTTATATGTTATACTACTTTCACAGTGAATCACA